GGGTTCTTTGAAAAGATGAATAAAATTGACAGACATCTAGCAAGACTGACAAAGCAAAAAAGGCACAATTACATGTATCAGAATGAAACAGGGCTATCACTACAGACCCTCCAGCACCATAAGGATAATAAAAGAATCCTGTGTACAATGCTATCCATACAACTTAGATGAAATGAGTGAATTCCTTAAAAGGCACAAACTACCACAACTCACCCAATATGGAAGAATTATTAAGGAGAGGAGCCCTGATGACACAACAGTTAAGTGCTCACCTGCTACCTGAAAGGTTAGTGGTTGGAAGATCACCTAGCAGCTCTGTGGGAGAAACCGAGCAATCTGCTCCCGTGAAGATTGCAAAACCACCAAACCCCCTGCTGCTGAGTCCATTCTGACTCATAGTGACCCTATAGGGCAGAATAGAACTGCCCTGTAGGGTTTCCAAGGGTGTAAATCTTTTCTTTTCTTTTCTTTTCTTTTTTTTTTTTTTGTGGTTCTCACCTTAGGTTTATTTGAGAGTACATCAGTTTTGGTGGTGTTGGGAGGTGGGGTGGGTGGAGAGAGAATGCTAAGGCTATAAATCTTTATAGAAGCAGATTGCTTTATCTTTCTCCTGAGGACCACCTGGTGGAGTTGAACAGCTAACCTTTTCGTTAGCAGCCAAGTGCTTTAACCACTGCACCACCAGAACTCCTCCAGTAAAGATTATACAGCCTAGAAAACCCTATGGGGCAGGTCTACTCTCACTTTGAATCACTGTGAATTGAAATTGACTTCACAGCATGTAACAACAACAGCAGCATAACTATTAAGGATTGAATTCATCATTTTAAAACTAACAAAAAGAACGGTTTCACTGGAAAATTCTGCCCAGTGTTTAAAGAAGATGTAAGACCAATTCTACCTGATCTCTTCTAAAAAATAAAAGAGGAAGATTGTTACTATTGGGAGAAAACGGGATAAAAGAGTACACAAGAACTCTTTGTATTCTTTCTTATAAGTGCGTGTGAACCTGAAATTGTTTAACCAGAGAAAAGGACAAATCTCTCTCTCTATATATATATACATACATACATACATTCATATATATTTATACACACACACACATAATACTTAAAGACAATTACAATAGACTTCCAGAATTCTTGTTGGAAATAACGTAGGGGATCATATCTTTAAAATACCTAAACAAAAAGAAGTATAGGTAGTCTATCCTGTACTCTTAACTATTTCTCTATGCTGCATCCATAAAGGTAATAAAAACAAAAGATGGATAGAGCAATTAGGTATACTCCCTTTCTCTTTTGTGTACTCTGGGGATTTGGAGTAGTACTACCATCCTAGGTCAACTATTATTCCTAATCCCTGATAGATTTCTACTCAGTTTCTTTTGCTTCATTTTTTTAAAAATAAAATGGATTAGTACATCATCTTTCCTGCCATACAAGGCAAACTTGGATAAATGCCATAAAATAGAAATTGAAACAAAGCCCCTTGGAAATTTAGAGGAAGGATTGAGAGTTTAACAGGTTAAAGATATCAGAGCAGAAGACATGTGAATCTGATTGAGAGTGGAGGAGGGGGAAAGAGCTGAGAATGTGTTCTGGGTCTGTGCCTAGGTGACAGGGACCAGAGTGGTGTAATGGCAGTGATTGAATGTAAGCTCCTTGAGAGCAGAGATTTTGTGTTTATTTCCTTGTCTGCTAGGTTTTTTACTTTATCCTCACTGCCTGGAACAGTGCTGGGTGCAATGTAAGTACTCAATAAATATTTGTTGTGTAAATAAGTGTGTGTGTGTGTGTGTGTGTATGGGAGCTGTGGTGGCATAGTGCCTAAGGCATTTGACTGCTAGCCAGAAGGCTGAAGGTTCAAGCCCACCAGCCACTCCTGGGAAGGAGGATTGAACAATCTACTTCCGTAGAGATACCGCCTGGGAAACCCAGGGAGGAGCTCTATGAGGCGAATGGACTCAACAGCAATGAGTTTATTTTCGGAGTTTTCAGCCTGGGATCTAACCCTGACCCTGCCTTTAACTAGCTGCCATCTAATCCTATATCTTCAGCTGTCACTTAAGCTATCACACAGATTCCTTTCAAAATTACTGGTGGTGGTTTTCATTATGTGCCGTCAAGTTGGTTCTGACTCAGAGTAACCCTGTGTACAGCAAAAAAACTGCCCAGTCCTGTGCCATCCATATAGTCATTGCTATATTTGAGCCCATTTTTGCAGCCACTGTGTCAGTCTATCTTGTTGAGGGACTTCCTCTTTTTTGCTGACCTACTTGAGTAAGCATGGTGTCTTTCTTCTGGGACTTGGCCCTTCTGAGAACATGTGTAAAGTATGTGAGATGAAAGTCTCACCATCCTCACCTGCCAGGAACATTCTAGCTATACTTCTAAGACTTTCTTTACTGTACCTCAAACCCACTGCCATTGAGTCGGATCTGATTCACAGTGACCCCTCCTTGGATTTCCGAGGTGGTATCACTACGGAAGTAGATTGCCCAACCTTCCTTCCGAGGAGTGGTTGGTGGGTTTGAGCTGCCAGTCTTCTGGTTAGTAGTCACATGTCTTAGGCACTATGCCACCAGAGCTTCCTTCTCTACTGTAGAAAGCAATAATACAGAAAACATGCTGGTCGAAAACATTAACTTATGATCTCATATGTAAAATGGGGAGAGAAAAGAAAATACTGCTATTAAATGCGATTTTGCTGTATAGAGCTCAGTGCTTGATCATAGCGAATACTCATAAAGGGCACTATTATCTGGACCTGATTTGCACGTTGACTTTAGCACCACTGTGTGAGCCATCAGCACCTCTAATAATAAGGTAGACACCAAAACCGTACTTCATGAGAAAGCTAAATGGGATTTGAAAGATCCTCCAGCCCAAGCTCTTCATTGTAACTGAGGCCAGAGTGGAAAAGTAACTTGGACAAAGTCACACAGCTAGCTGAAGGAAACAGAATATGGAAGAAAAAATTAGTCAGGAACCAAACCTTGAGGTAATGTTTATATGTAAAGGATGAAAAGAGAAATGGAAGAAAAACACTAATTACTTAGTTTTTGAGGGCTTGACTTTGAATGCTATAGCTGTTTTCTAGGATAAATTTTATTTTTTGGAAAAAATAGTAATTTGTCTGCTAGATAGCTCTACTTAATATTTCCCATTTGGTGTATGTCTAAACCCAAATTGGAATCACTGCTTGTTAAAACTGAGAAGAGGATCTTCAGTCCAGTCTCTCATTTTACAGATGAGAGAGAGAGATTCTTCTCTGAAGTGGAGGTCTCACATTTCTTACATTCATTGATAGCTCTGTGAGCAATTGGTTATCTCTTGGGCCACTTTTGCCTGCATTGTAGACTATTGCTTTAGAGGTTAGGTTTGTGTGTCAGCTTGGCTGGGCCTGCTTGAGTGGCTGGGCAGCTGGTGGTAGTTGTTCCCCGTGATGAGAATGGAGATCGACTCCATGGTGGAGTCTGCTGTGAGCAGCTGAGTAGCTGCCTTAGGGATGTGGTCTGCTTCCTTTATGTAAGCAAAGGCCTTGGGGAATGGCCTCTAGCTTATGGCACACTTGGACCCTGCATGTAGCCATGTCATTGTTCAGCAGCCTGCCATGCTCTGCCGACCTTGGGACTTACAGTGGACTTAAACTGATGGCCTGCCGTGTGGTTTGGTTACATCGGGACTGTGCCTTTTTACTTACCAACCTTGGGTTTGTTGGCCTCAGCACTGAGTGAACACTGCCTCTGACTCCAGTGGGCTGGGAGCAGGAGGCAGAGCTGGACCCCATGGTTGAGGGGCTTTCACCCAGCCCCTAGAGCCTGGCACTTTGAACTTGGACTTAAAGCCTCCAAACTGTGAGAGAATAATAAACTCCTGTTTGTTCAGGCCATCCCATTTGTGGTACATTCCTGTTAGAGCAGCACTAGGTAGCCAGAACAGAGGCCTTTTATCTTGGAGTGGACCTTCTAAGATCATCTTGGCTACATACAACCTTTGCTGTTTAGAGCACAGTTTATTTTGTTTGTTTTTATTTTTAACAGTTGAATCCTTTCTTAAGTGAAACACATCTTAAGTTGAAGAAACCCAATATAAAACAAATTAAAAAGTGGAATTTTCTGGTTAACAGCAGATTTGTTGGTGGTGGTAAGGGGTAGGTAGTTGAGATCAAGAAGGAGAAAGAATGAGTTGCACTCTGATTACTTGGCCCCTTCATCCCTACAGGTAGATGTGAGGACCTCTGCAATACCTCATAGGCTAGAGAGCAGTTAAAATTCCCTGACTTGGAAGCACATGGAGTCTAGTAATGATAGTTGTCAAGAAAGACAAGACTACTGGTGCGTTGGCTCTATACATTCACCAGTGACTTTTCCATATGCCCTGGAGTAATGATTTTTACAGTCTTTTCCTGAACTTCAAGAACTAAGAGCTGGGCCATCATTACAACTAGGACTTTAATAAACTCTCAGCTATCATTTAAAAACTCTCATCAATCACATTTGTATTTATTTACACTGCTTGTCTAGCAGCTTTTGTGTCAATTAAATTGCCTTGAAATAGATAATTTTATTAGTATAGACATAGTCCAGGAATTACTGTTACATGAGGAAAAGCTTAGCACTAGTGTATTGATTTTGCATAAACAGAGTCTCTGTAATGTTCTGATGAATTTTAAAATACTTGATGTATTTTTAATATTTATTTTCATAGTATTATTTATAATTTTGAATTTTAGTCAGCAGCTGATTAAGGACTATGTTAGACACCATTGAAAGACAGAGGTAAATTAGAATAAGGTCCCTCTCCTTACATTTGAGTCAAGCTGAGCACAGCACGAAGAACCTGACATTTTACATTTTTTTCCTTTGTACTCCGTCTCGCCACCTAAGCTTTCATGTTATACAATTTTTAATTTTAATTTACTGACTTATAAAGCATGTTCTTGATTGAAAATTTAATTATTTAAGTTTGTATTCTTTTCTTTTAAATTACTATTAGATTGCAAGACTGGAGGAAGATAAAGAAGAACTACATAACCAGCTGCTTAGTGTTGATCCCACAAGAGACAGCAAACGAGTGGAACAACTTGTTAGAGAAAAAGTCCATTTATGTCAGAAAGTAAAAGGTTTAGAGGCTGAAGTAGCAGAATTAAGGGCTGAAAAAGAGAATTCTGGCGCTCAGGTAGAAAGTGTCCAAAGAATACAGGTGCGGCAGTTGGCTGAGATGCAGGCTACAGTTAGATCCCTAGAGGTAAGATTTTAATTGCTTCCCGGTAGAATATGGTATCCCTTTTTAAAATGCAATTGACGAGCCTTTGATTTTTAGAGCATAAATGTATGCTCACAATCTAATGCTGACGCATTTGTGGAATCCCAAGAGTATATATTCAAAAGCAAAAAGCTATTGATTCATAAGCAATAACTTTGGTACCCATTTACAGTGGGATTATTTATTCTCTGGGAGTTGGATCACCTATCTGACATAATTTAACTCTTACAATACCACAGAACAGAATAAACAAAATCCAAATAAATAAATAAAATTGAGTCTCTGAAGTCATCTCAAACCAAAGAGAACAATTTTTTCCTAGGTAGTAACTTCCTTATAGGAGCTCTGGTAGCATAGTGCCTAAGGCACTTGACTGCTAACCAGAAGGCTGGCGGTTCAAACTCACCAGCCACTCCTCAGAAGGAAGGTTGGGCAATCTACTTCCATAGTGATGCCACCTTGGAAACCCAAGGAGGGGTTGCTGTGAGTTGGGACCGACTTAACCTCAAACAACAACAATAACAACAACAACAATTTCCTAATACTGGGATTTGAGATCTTAAAATCATAAATCATTTTTTAACAGAAATGCCATACTTACGACGGCTTCTTGCCAGAGTAATTAAACTCAGCTTAGTTACTAATGCAAAGAAGCCTTTACTGAATTATTTCTCTGAGTTTACTAGAGAAAGATAAGAGTTGGCAGAGCCAGGGTAGTCCTCCTAGGGCTATTACTCCCTTATAAAAATTCTGGGTTTTTATCTTAATCAGATATGCTTACTTCTCTTAGTTGTTACTGCCTAACATGTAACAGATATACCAGTTTAATTATTTTGACTGATGCGAAATGTTTTTCAATTCTTATAAAGTAGTTGTGAAATGATTCAGAGGAAAATTAGTGGGCACTTAGTTTGTAATTAAAATCCAATATCCAAATCCAAAATGTTGATTTTTTTTTTTTTTTTCCATTCAGCAAGCTGGACAAGGAGTGCATTGATATGTTTTGAAGAGTAGAAGCCACCTTTTTATTTCTTAGATAAGTTTGTAATATTACTTTCTGGTGTCCGGAACTAAAGTTGACAGTATCATTGGACTTTAGATATGAAGCAGTTTACACTAAGATTGTTTATGTCACCATCTTCCCATCCTTAATGTATTTTATATAGTGACAGAATAAATGGGATGGTTACAGTTAAATATAGTACATGATTCCACTATGAAACTTTTGATTGAGGCCATTTAAAGTGATTACTTTCAGAGTAAGCCGAATGATGACAAATGGTGGAGTGCTTATTTGTGACATTTACAAAAGAGCCTATATATAGTTTTACCATTTATCAGATTAAATGAAAATAAGCACATGACATTCTTTTTTCTTTGACTTTGTTGGCTATTATTATGCCCAGGGAGTATCATTCTATATTTGAGGAAAATACCTTTTTTCCTAAATTATTTGTTCTTATTTGTTATATTTAAGATATATAGGACATGAGATGTTAAAAAACTGAAGCTTATCCTTTAAATGACAAGTATTTTTTCATTTTAACTATTTGAAGTACAGATATTTTAAAGAGAATTTTCCTTCCCTCATTAAAGGCTGCTGTGAATATTACCAACCAGAAATTTTCTTACTGGACTTTTCAGTTCTCACTCCTTGCTACTATCAAGGAACCCTATCTTCCAACTTCTGATACACTTTGTCATATGTGCTATAAATGTAAACCTCCCAAAAAATGTTCCAATTATGATAATAAGAGTAAATGGGTATCAAGCAGGTGCCTCAGGTAGTCCAGTGAGAGAAGTGCATAACTTATTTTGTTGCTGGCTCTTGTTATGGTGGTTCAAACCCACCAGCCACTCAGGTGGGGCAATCTACTTCTGTAGTGATACCACCTCGGAAACCCAAGGAGGGGGTCGCTATGAGTTGGGTCCGGCTTGATGGCAGTGAGTTTGGTTTGGTTTTGGTTTATTGTTATGTTGTTTGCCCTGACACCTTTATTGCATATTTTCTGGTTCTCCCAAATCTTCTGGCAAGGGAGACTACCACATAGGTATGTTCTGTGATAAATATACTACTTTTGTGGTCTGATAATGAAACCTTATTTTTGTATCTAAATTATTATTTCTTTAACTTGGTGGAGCAAGTGTCTTTTATTTGAATGTGACCAAAGTAGTTTGAGAAAATTCTTGTTACTTTGGTACCTGTTAATAATTGTGATTTTTTAAAATAATTTTTGGTAGTATGATTATACATGTATTTTTAAATAGTACTTAATAACTGTGAACAAATTAAAAAAAATTTTTTTTTAATAAAAGGCTGAAAAACAGTCCTCTAAACTACAGTCTGAACATTTGGAAAAAGAGCTACAATCAAGCAATGAACAAAATACTGTTTTAATTGGTAAATTGCATAAAGCTGAAAGAGAAGTAAATATATTGACAAGTAAAGTAAGTCCTCTTATACTTCTACTTCATTCTTTGAAAATTGTGATAACTATAGAATGACAAAGAAAATTTGTGTTAAATAGTTTAGTTCTTTTTATTGGATTTTTAAAAATCCTGTCATCCTACATCCCAAATGTGTGCAGAATCTGACAAATTCTTACCCACCTTCCCTCTAACCACTAACCACTCTAGTCCAGTCCTCTAGACCTAATTTTTCAATAGCTGCCTAACTGGTCTTTCCGCTCTCTGCCTTTTCTCCCATAGAGGCTTTTCTCTATAGAGCAATAAAAGTAATATTTTAAAAATTATTGTTAGATCATGTCATTCTTCTCTTCAAACCTTTCCAACGAGTTATCATCTTATTCAAAATGAAATAAAAAGTTCTTACCATTCAGAGCTCTGTGATCTGGTCACTGCACCCTTTCTAAAATCATCATTGTCCGTTTTCCCTCCTGGTCATTTTGCTTTTGCCTCACTGGCCTGCTCACTCTTCTTTGAGCAATCTCACTTTTACCTCAGGACATTTCCACTTGCATGCATTGATACAGCTTACTTCCTCACCTCCTTCAAATGTTACCTTATCAGAGAAGCCTCACGTGTCCTCATTTAATAAAATGACATCTTCCCTCTTTCTCTGCCCCACACTCTATCATCCTTACCTGGTGTACTTTTCTTCAGAGCTGCTAACGCTATCTGATATATTTATATGTTTACTTTTTGTCTTGCCTTTTTTTCCCCCTCACTCCCCTACCAAATGTAAGGACCAAGAGAGCAGAGATATTTCTGTAACTCCAGGTTCTAGAACCGTAGCAACACTAAATAAATATTTATTAAATGAATTAGCTAATATTAGCAGCATGATCTCCATTATGTTATTCTTTAAAATAATGTAATAATTTGAATATTGTAGAAACATTTTTTTGTATATAAAGGTTTTTTCAGGAACTTAAAGGATTTATTTCCCCTCAGATAAAGTATATGTAAGAACTCCAGTAACCAGAAATAGGATAGGTAGGTAGATAGATAGGTTGATAGATAGCTGCCATTGAGTTGACCCCAGCTTACGGTGAGTTTATGTACAACAGAATGAAATGTTGCCAGTCTTAGGTTATCCTTTGTTGATGAATTGTACCACTCCATCTCACTAACGGTCTCCCTTACCCTCACTGGCTCTCTTCTTTAAACATGATATCCTCCTCCAAAGGAGCCCTGGTGGCACAGTGGTTAAGTGGTTGGCTGCTAACTGAAAGGTCAGTGATTCAGACCCACCAGCTACTCCGACAGAGAGAGAGAGAGGGCAATCTGCTTCTATAAAAATTGCAGCCTTGGAAACTCTGTGGAGTCGTTCTACCCTATCCTGTAGGTCACTGTGAGTCGAAATCAGCTCAGGTGGCATACAACAACAATGCCCTCTTCTAGTGATAGATTCCTTCTAATGACATGTCCAAAGTAAATGAGTCAGATGTGACCTGTAAGATTTTCATTGGCTAATTACCAGAAGGAGATCACCAGGCCTTTCTTCCTTATCTATCTTAGTCCAGACTCTCACTTACTCACTGCCATCGAGTCGGATCCAACTCATAGTGACCCCTCCTTGCGTTTCTGAGGCGGTATCACTGTGGAATTAGATTTACCAGTGTTCCTTCTGAGGAACTGCTGGTAGGTTTGAACTGCCAGCCTCTTGGTTAGCAGTCAAATGCATTAGGCACTAAGTCAACAGAGCTCCCTTCTTAGTCCAAAAGCCTCGCTGAAACCTGTCCACCATGGGTGACCCTGCTATTTGAATTATCAGGGCGTAGCTTCTGGCATTACAGCTATACACAAGTAACCATAGTATGACAGACTGACAGACTAGTGGAGAAATAGGATAACAATGATAAAAGTATTTTTTAGACTACTATACTGAATAAGGGAGCTCTGGTAGCATAGTGCCTAAGGCACTTGACTGCTAACCAGAAAGCTGGCAGTTCAAACCCACCAGCCACTCCTCAGAAGGAAGATGGGGCAATCTACTTCTGTAGTGATACTGCCTTGGAAACCCAAGGAGGGGTCACTATGAGTCGGGTCTGACTCGATGGCACATAACAACAACAACAACACAGTGAATAAAGGTACTCTGGTGGCATAGAGGGTAAGGCATTTGGCTGTGAACCAGAAGGTTGGTGGTTCAAACCCAATAATACTCTGAAAGATGACAGAAAGATGAAAGAATCTACTTCTGTAAAGATTTACAGCTTTGGAAATCAGTGGGGGTCACTATGAGTTGGAATTGACTCAGTGACAGTGGGTTTAGGTTTTTGGTTTGGTAGTGAATAAGAATAACAGGTTTGGAGTTAGGAAAACTAGATTGAAATTCCAGTTCTTGCCTTTTCTAGTTATGTGACCTTGGGCAGTTGACTTCCCCTCTGAAAACTGTAGAGTCTTCCTCTATAAAATGGGGCTAATCCATATCTTATAGTGTTGTGGCAAAGATTATATGAAAGCACGTTGTTGTTGTTAGGTGCCATCGAGTCAGCTCTGACTCATAGTGACTCTGTGTACAGTAGGATGAAACACTGCTGAGTCCTGCACCATCCTCACAATCCTTGCTATACCTGAGCCTGCCGTTGAAGCCACTGTGTCATTCCATCCTGTTGAAGGCCTTCCCCTTTTTTTGTTTACCCTCCACCCTACCAAGCATAATATCCTTCTCCAGGGAATGGTCCCTTCTGACAACATGAACAAAAGAGGTAAGAAAAAGGCTAGCCATTCTTGCTTCCAAGGAGCATTCCAGCTGCACTTCTTTGATAACAGATTTGTTAGTTCTTCTGGCAGTTCATGGTACTTTGAATGTTCTTTGCCAACACCCAACTGAAAAGCATCACTCTTCTTTGGTCTTCCTTATTTATTGTCCAGCTTTCACATGGATATGAGGCTACTGAAATTACCATGACTTGAGTTCCCAAAAAAACAAACCAAACTCACTGCTGTTGAGTTGGATCCGACTCATAGTGCCCCCCCCCCTTGGGTTTCCAAGGAGGTATCACTATGGAAGTAGATTACCCAACCTTCCTTCCAGGAGTGGCTGGTGGGTTTGAACCACCAACCTTCTGGTTAGCAGTCAGATGCCTTAGGCACTATGCCACCAGAGTCCCTGGCTTGAGTCAGGCACACATTAGTCTTCAAAGAGACATCTTTGCTTTTCAGCACTTGAAAGAGGTCTTTTGCAGCAGATTTGCCCAGTGCAATATGTCATCTGATTTCTTGACTGTCTTGACTGTCGCTTCCGTTGCTGTTGATTGTAGAACCAAGTAATATGAAATCTTTGACATCTTCAGTCTTTTCTCCATTTATCGTGATGCTACATATTGGTCCAGTTGTGAAGATGTTCATTTTCTTTATGTTGAGGTGTAACCCATACTGTAAATTATAGTCTTTAATCTCATCTCTATCCATCATATTCATTTTCAGCAAGCAAGGCTGTGTTGTCTGCATGTCACAGGTTGTTAATGAATCTTCCTCCAACCCTGATGCAACTTTCTTCTTCATGTATTCCAGCTTCTCAGATTATTTGCTCAGCATACAGATTGAATAAGTATGTTGAAAAGATAAAACCCTAACACACTCCTTTCCTGATTTTAAACCATAAAGTATTCCTTTTTTCTGTTCGAATAATGGCCTTTTGGTCTATGTACAGGTTCCTCATGAGCACAATTAGGTGTTTTGGAATTCCCATTCCTCTCGGTGTTATCCATAATTTATTAGATCCACATAGTTAAATGCTTTTGTATAGTCAATAAAACACAAATAAACATCTTTCTGGTATTCTTTGCTTCCAGCCAAGATCCATCTGACATCAGCAATGATAACCCTAATTCCATGTCCTCATCAGAATCTAACTTGCATTTCTGGAAGTTCCCTGTCAATATACTGCTGCAACTGTTTTTGAACTGTTTTGAATTACCTTCAGCAATATTTTACTTGCATGTGATGTTAATGATACTGTTCAATAATTTTCACATTCTGTTGGATCACCTTTCTTTGGACTAGGTACAAATCCAGATCTTTTTCAATCAGTTGGCCAGGTAGCTACCTTTCAAACTTCTTGGCATAGATGAGTAAGTGCCTCCAGTGCGGCCTCCGTTTGTTGAAACATCGCAGTGGGTATTCCATCAATTCCCAAAACCATGTTTTTTACCAATTCCTTCAGTGCAGCTTGACTTCTTCCTTCAGTTCCATTGGTTCTTGAATTAGATGAACATCAACCAGTTCTTTTTAGTACAGTGACTCTATATAGTCTTCCATCTTATTTTGATGTTTCCAGTATCATTCGATATTTTGCCCATGGAATCATTGAGTACTGCAACTAGAGGTTTAAATTTTTTCTTCAGTTCTTTCAGCTTAAGAAGTGCTGAGTGTTTTTCCCTTTTGGTGTTCTAACTCCAGGTCTTGGCACAGTTTGTTGTAATAATTGACTTCGTCTTTTTGAGCTGTTCTTTGAAATCTTCTGTTCAGCTCAGTTATCTTGTCATTTCTTCCATTTGCTTTAGGTACTCTCTGTTTAAGAGCAAGTTTCAGAGTCTCTGCTGACAACTATTAAGGTCTTTTCTTCCTTTCTTGTCTTTTTAATGACCATTTGCTTTCTTCATAGATGATGTTCTTGATGTCATCCTACAAGTTGTCTGGTATTCAGTCATTGGTGTTCAGTGCCTCAAGTCTGTTTTTCAGATGGTCTCTAAATTCAGGTGGGATATAATCAAGGTCGTATTTTGGCTCTTGTGGACTTGTTTTAATTGTTTTCCGTTTCAGCTTAAATTTGCATATGTGCCATTGATGATCTTTCTCACCATCAGCTCCTGGCCTTGTTTTGGCTGAAGATATTGAGCTTCTCCATCACTTCTTTCCACAAATGTAGTTGATCTGATTCCTGTGTATTCCATCTGGTGAGGTCCATGTGTATAGCTGCTCCTTACATTGTTGAAAAAAGATATTCACAATGAATAAGTCGTTGGTCTTGCAGAATTCCATCATGCAATCTCTGGCATCATTTCTATCATCAAGTCCATACTTTCCAATTACTGGTGATTCTTTGTTTCCAGCTTTTGTGTTCCAATCACCAATAATAATTAATACATCCTGATTGCATGTTTGGTCGATTTCAGACTGCAGAAGTTGGTAAAAAGTCTTCAGTTTCCACATATTTGGGTTTGGTAGTTGGTGTGTAAATTTGAATAGTAGTAGTATTAACTAGTCTTCCTTGTAGGTGCATGGATATTATCCTATCACTAATAGCATTGTACTTCTGCATAGATCTTGAAACATGTTGTGTGACGCCATTCCCTGCGTAGTAGACTAGGGTTGTCTGATTCAAAGTAGCCAAAACTTGTCCATTTTAGCTCACTAATGTCTAGGATAATGATCTTTATGCATTCCATTTCATTTTTGACCACTTCCAATTTTCTTAGATTCAAACTTTGTACATTCCATGTTCTGATTATTAACAGATGTTGGCAGTTATTTTTTTCCTATTTTGAGTCATGCCACACCAGCAAATGGAAGTCCCGAAAGCTTAACTCCATCCTTGTCATTAAGGTCAGCTCTACTTTGAGGAGGCAACTCTTCCACAGTTGTATTTTGAGTGCCTTACGACCTGAAGATCTCATCTTCCAGCACTATGTCAGACAGTGTTTCAAGGGTATTCATAAAACTTTTCAGTATTATATCAGATGGTGTTTCACTGCTCTTCACAAGGTTTTCGCTGGTCAATTCTTTGAGAAGTGGATGTCCCCTTCTTTCTTCCAAGTCTGTGTTAGTCTAGAAGCTCCAATGAAACCTGTCTACCATGGGTGATCCTGCTGGTATTTGAAATATTGGTGACATAGCCTTCAGGCTCCCAGCAACATGTAAGCCACCACAGTATGACAAACTGACAGACGAGTGGTAGATGTGGAAAGTACGAATGATTATTCACATTCACTAGTGGCTTAAAAGGAATCCCTGAGTGGTACAAACAGTTAATGCTACTGGCAGCTAACTGTTGGACACTTGAGTCTGCCCAAATGTGCCTCAGAAGAAAGTCCTGACTATATACTTTGAAAAATCAGCCATTGGAAACCTTATGGATCACAGTTCTATGGTTACATACATGAGGTTGTCAGGACTCAGAATCTGGCAACTGGAGGTTGGGGGAAAACAGTGGCAGTGAGGGGGAGGGAGCTTAAAAAGAATTAGATTTTGTCAGTAAAGATTTCAGTTAGATTTATATTACCCCTCACACATGCGTACCTATATATATATCCTCATAAATATTATTCATTTCTGAACTAAATTCAGTTGATTCTTTCTTGCCCCTTTTATTAATATCTTGCCTCTCTCTTTTTTTGAAATTGTGATTTGGGTGAAAGTTTACAGAGCCAATTTGTTTTCTGTTCAGCAATTGAGAACACATTTTGTTTTGTGACATTGAGTACAGTCTCCATAGTGTAACAGAACTCTTTCCACTTCAACCCTGTGTTACCATTTCCCTTTGTCCTTCTTTCCTATCCCTTCCTGCCTTCTGAGTTTTATTCCTAGGCAAATGCTGCCTTTTTGATTTTGGATGGCTGATTGTTCTGATGAGTGCATCCGTCTCTGGTGTTATTGTTCACCTTAAAGACCTATCTGTCTTTTGGGTGAAAGTTGATCCACAGCTCTTAATTGGTATCTTTACCTTCAGTTTTATAATCTAGCATATTTGCAATTAAGAGTTAACTTTCTAATATAAAGTTGATTGTGCTACCTTCAGTAGCTTCTTGTTGTTAGGTGTCCCTTAAGTCAGTTTTCTACTCATAGCGACCCATGTGACATAGTTGGTTAACAGGATAAATTTCTTTTGCATGGTATGCTAATCTCTCTGCTCTACCTATAACACATCCCTCATTGTTTCCAGGGCAGACCATGTGATATTATACCTCTTTGATGTTCTATATCTTATTACTTTTTCCTAGAATGCCCATTTTATTTCCAACCCTTATTTAAAGGAAGATGGGGCAATGTACTTCTGTAGTGATACTGCCTTGGAAACCCAAGGAGGGGTCGCTGTAAGTTGGGTCCGACTCAGTGGCACATAACAACAAAAGTATCATTGATTATTAGATTTTACATAGTTTAGGTTAATGAGATGGCCTTTTAAGGCAAAATCAAGCTGGATTATCCCACCCAGTTATTTGTAAAGAAGGGCCTGTTTTCTCTGTATCTTCTGGTGCCAAGTACTATTTCAGGCCCTGAAACAACTTCCTCCCTGGAAGATGCTTGCACTCTATACTGTCATTTCCACTTAGATTTTACAGTATGTACTTAATGGCAAGAAGATGACCAATGGTAACTTCACTTTTAATTATTAACAGGTAAAAGAACTTAAGCATGCAAACAAACTAGAAATAACAGACATCAAACTGGAGGCAGCAAGAGCTAAGAGTGAGCTAGAAAGAGAAAAGAATAAGATTCAAAGTGAGCTGGATGGTAATATATGATTTCTCATGCTTTTTACTATTAATTTTGGATATAAAGTCAAAGTAAAATTATTAAAATAGATCAACCTGAAATTTTATTTCCAGAATTTCCCTTAATCTTAGAGCACATACAGGATATTTTTATTTTGTTTATTTGTTAAATGTTTTCTTAAATGTGTAATCTTAAATTAAAAAAAAAATTCATGCTTATGTCGTAGTTACATGATTAATATATGAATTAATTGACACTTTAAAAATGAGATTCCTTACTTCCTGGATTTAGTTTTAAATCTATTTTGATCATGTAGTTATTATCTCTAGGCCATATGAAGTCTAAACAACATAAGGAAGATATATGGGTTGCAGGCCTAATTTTTTTTTTTTAAATGTGTACCCAAGGCCAGTTACTGGAACCCGGTTCAGCTTAGGCTTATTTATTTATCTTTAAATTTTTATTGTGATTTGAGTGAAAGTTTACAGAGCAGATTCATTTTCCATGTAGCAGTTCATACACATTTTGTCTCCTGACATTGACTGCCATTTCCCACAATGTAACAACTCTCTTCCAGCTTCCTCCATAGGTACCTCTTACTTGTGTCCTTCCCTCCCATGCACTCCTGCCCCCTGAACTGTCTCCCTGTGCATATACTGCCCTTCTTTTCTCCCATGATCTTTCCAAGGAGTGTATCTACCTGATAAAAATGTTCAGCCGATATGCCTGTCTGTTATTTGGCTAGAAGCCACAGGAGTGAGTTCAATTCCATACCTGAAGGACAACTAGGGGCCATAGTCTCAGGGGTTTCACCAGCTCTTATCAGACCAGCAAACCTGGTCTTTTTTTTTTTTTTATGATTTTTAAGTTTTGTTCCACATTGTTCTCCCACTCTATCTAGGATCTCCTGCATCCATCCCCCTCTGAGTGGTTGACAGTGGTAGCCTGGCATCTAGTTGTTCTGGTCTCATGGTCATAAAGGCTGAGGATTGCATGGTCTACCAGTCCCTTGTACTAATTGTTTTGATGCATCTTTGGTTTTCTTTATTCTTCTTTGCTCTGGATGAGGAGAGACCCATTGTTGCATCTAGATGGCCACTTATAAGCTTTTAAAATCCCAGTCGCTACTCACCAAAGTAGGATGTGGAATGATGTTTTTGTGTAGTATGTTATGTTAAGCTTATTTTTAAGTTTCATTTAGTCTTAGAGTGTCCATCTCATCAATAATCCACAGTAATTGTATTGTTTCTAACTTTCTTAATGTACTTAAATAAGCTGCCCTGGGCCTGCAGCTGTCCTCTATAGTTTCAGAAAGAGCTTATGACGAATGATTGTTTTTAATATCAGTTTCTAGGGCTTGGTTACAGTTAGGAACTCAATTTCTTAGGAACATAAAAAGTTTGGGATCCAGTTCTACGTTCTGTTTTAATTTACAAGTTATGAATATGTTTTATCCTACCTACAAAATACTTGCTATTTCCTTATAAGGAAGCAAAAGATTTTTTAATTCATTGCAAAACTTCAAATTTCCGTATTATGCATATTTTGTCCTACCAGAATCATAGATTTTGCAGGGTTTTTTGTTTTTTTTAACCCTCTTTCAGCCAGCTTCTTTAGGATATTGTCTATGGTATATTTGTGCCATAGAACCCAGGTCAAGTTCCCCAGCTGTCAGGATTCAAATGACTAAATGTATATAATCAGGTGATTGAATGTGTGTGCTAAATAAGGTGATAACAGAAAAATTAACTGAGTTTGTTTGGTTCTTTCTTTATCAGTCACATAAAGATCTTTGAGAGTATATATCCAGAGTGACTTATTTTCTAGATTCTTTTGTCTTATCATCTTATGAATGCTTACCCATAAGTGTGATTTTTCATCTTGATGATAATATGAAATATATTTTTCTCCTTAAAAAATACTAGGATTACAGTCAGACAATGACATTCTTAAATCAGCTGTTGAACACCACAAAATGCTCTTAGTGGAAAAGGATCGTGAATTAATACGTAAAGTACAAGCTGCCAAGGAAGAAGGTTATCAAAAACTTGTGGCATTACAAGATGAAAAGTAAGTACTTAATTACCTTATTTTATGTTAAATCTACTTGCAAATGAAAACATTTTGCTGTCATACAATCCAATATGTGTTCTTGTAACATAATTATCATCTGTTGTTTTAGGCTAGAACTTGAAAACAGATTAGCAGATCTAGAGAAAATGAAACTGGAACATGATGTTTGGAGGCAATCTGAAAAGGACCAGTGTGAAGAGAAACTGCGGGCTTCACAGATGGCAGAAGAGTCGGCCAGAAGGGAACTTCAGAGCATCAGGTTATATATATGTGTGTGTGTGTGTGTGTATGTTTATAATTTTAAAGTTTTCATTTTGAAATAATTTCAGAGTTACCAAAAGATTGTAAAAGTGGGCTGAAAAAATCTCCATATACCCTTCACCCATATTCCCCAAATATTAACATCGCACATAAGCATAGTGTAGTAATCAAAGCCAAGAAATTAACCTAAGCAGGAAATTAAATAAATATGATCATTGAACCTATAGACTTTATTCAGATATTATCAGTTGTCCCACTAATGTCCTTTTTCTGGTGCAGAAAATTTATTTAATCTGGAAAATATCCTCATTCAGTTTTTGGCTTTTATGATTTTACTTTTACTTTTCATTATTGCCAGCCATTTGTTTTATAGTATTTTCCTCATTGGGACTTGTCTTGCATTCTTCATGTTTAAACTTAGGTTATACATTTTTACCATGTTGTTGTTATGTGCTGTCGAGTCGGACCCGACTCATAGCGACCCCTTCTTGGGTTTCCGAGGCAGTATTACTACGGAAGTAGGCTGCCCCATCTTCCTTCCAAGGAAGTGGCTGGTGGGTTTGAAGCGCCAGCCTTCTGATTAGCAGTCAAGTGCTTTATGTTACCAGAGCTCCCCATTTTTACCACATATAATGCAAAAGATATTTTGTGTACTCTGTAGTGCTTCCTTTCAGAAGATACATGGTTTATTCCCTACTGGTGATATTACCTTTGCTCACTTGGTTAATGTTGTGTTTGCTCATTTTTTTCACGTAAAATTACTAAATTTATGTTATGAGGATTTACTTTGAGACTGTGTAAATATTCTCGTCATGTATTCCCGTCATATGTTAGTCCAGTAACTTTAGTGTTCATTGATAATAAAGCCTGATACAGTTATTACTGTAGTGTTTGCCCAATGGTGATTTTCTATTTCCATCATTCCTTCTACATTTATTAATTGGAATTATACTGAAAGGAAAAGCTTTCCTTCTCCTTGAAATATTATATTTATTTATTATCAATACAGACTCATGGATTCTTATTTTATTCTGTGAGTTACAATCTTTTATTATATTTTGTTGCTCAGATTGTCTCAGATTTGGCAGAGAGCTCTTTCAGGTTGATTCCTGTGTCTTTTTTACATATCCCCATCATTTTTTGTACTTATTTTTTATTTTCTGGCACCATAAAATGTTCTACTACTTGTGCTTTCCTTGTCCTAGCCCTGGAATCAACCCTTTGTCTAAGACCCTCTGGTTCCTTTTATTGGAGAGTGGTAATTAGAAATGGAAATCTCAACTCCAGATATGCTTATTAGTACTAGGATGTCATTGCTTCTAGGTCCTCTCAGTGGAATGAGCTAGAAAATATATGTGTGTGTGTGTACAGATATAGCTATTTCTTTATTTTATTCTATATGTATGGATGGGGCCGGCTATTTCTGTAAAGATTTACAACATCGGAAACCCAGTGGGGGTTGCTATGTGTCAGAACCAACTCGATGGCAGTGAGTTTGATTTTTTATTTTGTATTAATAATACGGGAGGTCTGGTAGCATAGTGCTAACCAGACTGCTAACCAGAAGGCTGGTGGTTCAAACCCTCCAGCCACTCCTCAGAAGGAAGGTTGGGCAATCTACTTCTGTAGTGATACTGCCTGGGAAACCCAAGGAGGGGTCGCTATGAGTTGGGTCCAACTCGATGGCATATAACAACAACAACAACAACATTAATAATGTATATAATGTCTGTATTGAGTTCATATCAATCTCTCTAATGGTAGTCCAACACCATGGAGTTTATTCTAGCTTTCCCCCTATTCTTATTTACAACTCCTTTGACAGGAGTAAGAAACCTGGCTTTTATTATGCATAGTGAAACCAGTAGGAAACTCATTGCCATGTAGTTCATTCCAACTCATAGCGTCTCTGTACAGAGTAGAAGTGGACTACGGGGTATCGTAGGTTTATTTATTTCCACAGTCCTAGAGTACGTATCAAGTAGTTTTGGAATTTCTGATTCATAACTCTCTGAAAGACTTAGTAACTAGTGTGTAATATTTGTGTACATTTCCTTTTGTCTTTAGACTTAGAGCATATTGTCAAAATACTATTTTAGAAAATTATTGAGGTTAGATCTTTCTTGCCAAAACTGTCTCTGACTGTGGTTGTTATTTATTTAGAAAACAGGTTCATTTCTTTCTGTTCTATTCCATTTTGGGTCTTTACCACATCCTTTTGGATTTTATTTAATTATTAATATATTTGACCATGTGAAACATCAACATGGTGCTGGAGGACAGAACTGTACAAAATAGGATACTCAAAAAAGTACCACTCCCCTCATCCATTCTGCCCTTTTCCAACACCCCTCATCTTTTCTTACCTACCCTCTTACAACCGAGATCATTAATTTCTGGTTTATCCTTCTTATCTGTGTTGCCCCCCCCCCCAAAATGAGCAGATACATGTATGTTTTATATCTATCTCTTTTGATAACAGTGCTAAGCAATGTATCTTGAAAATCTCTCCATATTAGTTCAAAGATCTTCCTCATTCATTTTTACAATTGCTTAGCACTCCATTGTTTGGATGTACCACAGTTTATTCAATCACTCTCTTATGTTTCAAGTATTTAGGTTGCTTCCAGTGTTTTGAGATGGTAATGTTGCAGTGAATAATCTTGTACATGTATGTATTTTCATGTTGTTGGAAGTATATCTTCAGGATAAATTACTGATGTGAATAGACGAATCAAAAGGAAAATGCATATGCTGTTTCGTTAGATATTGCCAAATTCCTGTCTAAGAGAATTGTATCATTTTGCCTTCCCATCAGTAATATGTGAGAATGCATGTTTTTCCACAGCCTTGCCGATAGAATATTCTCTCATACTATTTAATTTTTGCCAATCTGATAGGTGAGAAATTTCTTTTCTTATGAATTAACTTGAACAACTTTTCATATATTTAAGGGCTGTTTTTATCTTTTCTGTGAATTGCCTATTCATGTCTCTCCCCATTTTTCTAGATTTCTCTGATCCTTTACCTTTGCTTTTTAAGAGTCCTTTATATATTAGAAATATTAACCCTTTATCTTTGATATATGTTGCAAATATTTTGTCAGTTATCTTTTGAGTTAATATATGTTAATTTTTGGTATGCAGAATTTTTTATAATTAAATTTATCATTTTACTATTGCCTCTGGATTTTGAGTCATAGTCTTTTCTTGCACTGACATTAAAGAGGAATTCATACTCTTTTTGTTCTTGTATGACTTTATTATTTATTTTTTATCCCTGATTCAGTGGGAGTGTGTTCTTGTGTATGCTGTAAGTATGGATTTGCTTTTGCCTTTTTCTAAGTGGCTCATCAGTTGTCCGGGAGCTCTGGTAGCGTAGTGCCTGAGGCACTTGACTGCTAACCAGAAGACTGGTCGTTCAAACCCACCAGCCACTCCTTGGAAGGAAGGTTGGGCATCTACTTCCGAAGTGATACTGCCTCGGAAACCCAAGGAGGGGTCGCTATGAGTCGGTCTGACTCGACAGGCGGTCTGGTGGCGTAGTGCCTAAGACATTTGACTACTAACCAGAAGGCTGGCAGTGCAAACTCACCAGCCACTCCTAGGAAGGAAGGTTGGGCAGTCTACTTCCATAGTGATACTGCCTTGGCAACCCAAGGTGGGGTCGCTATGAATTGGGTCTGACTTGATGGCACATAACAACAATCAATTGTCAAATACTTTTATTAAAAAGCATCCTTTGCCCCAATGATTTGTGATAATAGTTTTATCATATATTAAATTTCTGTATATATTTGGGTATATTTCTGGGCTTTCTAATCTATTTCACTGGTGTATTCATCTATCTTGGTGCCACTACTACAATGTTTTACTTATACAATGCTTTATAATGTTTTATTGTCTGGTTGTGCCAATCTACCCTTATACTTTTTCTCTTTCAGTATTTTTCTGGCTATTTTTTTTTTGCTCCTTGCTACATTCTGAATTGCTTTTGAGCGAATGTCACCTGACCATTTGGTCTTGTATGGTTTACTGTTCTGAGGAGTATGTTCCTCATAGGTATTACTGTTCACTTTATAGACCTATTGTTTGACTGGAAGATAATCCCCAGGGCTGGGTTCGATTCCAGGTTTGAAGAGTGTCTAAGGGCCATAAACCTGGGGGTTCCACCAGTCTCTGTAAGATCAGTAAATCTAGTCTTTCTTGTGAGTTTGAATTTTGTTCTCTACTTTTTTCCCACTCTGTCCATGACCCTCTGTAGTGATCCCCATCAGAGTGGTAGTAGTGGTAGCTGGGTACCATCTAGTTCTAATGGTTCCAGGCTAGTGGAGGCTGTGATTCACATGGTCCACTAGTCCTCTGGACTAATTATTTCCTTTAGTCTTTGATTTTCTTTACTCTTCTTTGCTCTGGATGTGGAGAGAATGTCATAGCATCTCACATGGCCGTAAGCAGACTTTTAAGACCTCAGTCTTTCTAGCTATTCTTGCCTGTTTGTTTTCCATATGAACTTGAATATCAATTTATTTAGCATGATAATACTTGTAATTGTTTATTGGTATTGCATTAGAATTTTAAATTACTTCAAAGAACTTTCATCTTTATGACATTAAGTTTTCCTACCTGGGAACATAAATATGTTTCCATTCATTGAAATTTCGTTTGTATCTTTCAAGATTATCCTAAAACTTTCTTCTTAGAGTTTTGACACACTCCCATTTCAGGAGATGGCATATGATCTAGAACCAATGGTATTGAAGGAGGAAGTCAAAGCTGCAATGAAGTAATTGGCGAAGAACAAGGCTCCGGGAATTGACGGAATAGCCATTGAGATATTTTAACAAACGGATACCCCACTAGAGGCACTCACTCAGTTATGCCAACAGATTTGGAAGATAGCTACCTGGCCAGTTAACTGGAAGAGATCCATATTTGTACCCATTCCAAAGAAAGGTAATCCCACAGAATGTGGAAATTATCTAACAATATCATTAAT